CCATCCATCCATCAACCCATCCATTTATCCATCCATTCATCCAACCATCAATCCACCCATCCATCCATCCATCCATCCATCCATCCATCCATCCATCCATCCATCCATCCATCCATCCATGCAGTATATTTAGCGACTGCTCAAACCACTCTAGCAATGCTTTTCTGTGTTGAAGACTTTGGCGACATTTCCAAAGCACTGACTGTCAAAAGCATTGAAAATGTGAAATTATTTAAGTTATTTGAGTTAATTACTTCTTTCAAACATATTTAGAGTGCTTGTAATTATCTTTTGTCTCAGCGATGTAGATTTTTTCTGTCCTACGACTGGATCAAAGCTTTACCAAGTACGAAAATGTGACCCCATCTAGCGACTTTAGAGCCCCTTATGCACTACCGTCTGAAAAGTGATCCGCTCCACGCTCGGATCCTTATGACCATTTACACACCACACTAACATGGTTCCCTGCCTCCTTATGGCGATCCACGGTACTACTGCTCTCTAGAAGTAAATAAGCAAACCAACATGGCAACGCCCCTAACATTTAGGAAGTTAGCAGAGAGTCAGGAGAAGAAGGCAGCCATTGGTGAATTTACTTGACAGAGTAACGATAGTCTAATCAGAGCTTACGGACGCAGTTAACGACAGACGTTGAGGTTCATCACACTGCTAAACAGAATCATCACTGGAAATCGTGTGGCACGGTAGGGAAGCTAGTATTTTTATGAAGGTCTGAAGTCTCATTATTATGGAGGCTGACTGTAAGGAGATGATGCGGTCTGCTCATACAATCTTTGTTATTTGAGAACGGTGCAAGAACTGAACCACGTTAAGCCCTACTGATGAGCTAGTACCATGTTAGCGCGGTTCGGTTGTGTCTGGCACGGTCTGGTTCAGTTGTACACTCCATTTACATTCAATGGTTATCTCGGTTACCTTGCTCGGACCGATTTCGGAACAGTTTCAAAAGGGTAGTGGAAATGGGGCTTAGGACAGCCCTGCTGAAGAGTTGGTGACGGTGTTTCAGGCTGAGCCCCTGCACCTCTATATATCGAATCAGATGAACAAAAGCTCATGTCTAAACAGGGAGGATTCAGGTGGAAAAGTTTCCTGCTTTTTTGTTTTTGTTTCAATAGAGGTACCAAAGAGATCAACACAAGGCCATCCTCAGGCTGTTCATCAACAAGGTCTGTTTTTAGTTTCAGGAGGAAATTTAATTAGATTCCAACAAAATGACCTGTGTTGTTTCAACTGGATTTTAATTTCTGTTATTCATAAGGCAGATATCAGTTTGGGACTCATTCATCTTTTTGAAAAAATATTTGGATTGTTACGCACAATCCTAAAGCCTGAAATCTGTCACAGATGCCTGTGTTTGGTCGCATAGGGAACTCCCCGAACTCCATGCAAAGGATTCTCGTCTAAGGATTGTTTCAGCTTTTGTTGTTCAAAGTGCTTCAGTCTCAAAAAGCCATATCCTTTCTTCCACTGAGGAGCTTAATTAGTCTTAAAATAGGTTCACTAAGAGTGCAGACAGATTTATAAGTTTAGAATTAAGTCAGAATATAGTCTGAAGTGATAAATATTCATGTGAGCAGTTTTATTTAAAACACAAATCTAAACTGTCACACTTTGAGCATTTTATGAGCGCAGGTTAAAAGCCATGAGGCCTCCAATGTGTCACAGCTATGAGTTCCTGCTCCTCTTGCTTATTTATGCTCCTGTAGATTCCCTCCTACTAGAGTGTAAATCTGTTTCTGTGCCTCATGTCAACTTTGGTCACTTTCAGGGTGGAACCAAACTGAGAGGTAAACTGTCTGTGATTGGCTACTTTTCTAGAAATCCAACCTCTTGAGACAGTACTGTTTTTGTTCCTGTCTGAAGCCACTAATCTCTATTCATTCACTGGATTGCTGATAGGCTGAAAAAAAAAGTCACCTGCCACCATCTTGGTCCTCCCTATTCTCAAAGAGTTGCGCCACAAAAATGTTGCAATATAATGTAATTACCATAGCAATGTAATCAACACATGTACACTCACCGGCCACTTTATTAGGTACCCCATGCTAGTAACGGGTTGGACCCCCTTTTGCCTTCAGAACTGCCTCAATTCTTCGTGGCATAGATTCAACAAGGTGCTGGAAGCATTCCTCAGGGAGTTTGGTCCATATTGAGATGATGGCATCACACAGTTGCCGCAGACTTGTCCGCTGCATATCCATGATGCGAA